TTAAATGTAATTTTATTAATACAAATAATGCTTAATAAAAGTTATTAATGTCTGATAATGATTTTTTGCCTGATAAACGATTTATTATAGTCATTGTTAATTATAAAAAATCACGGGATACCGGATAAATATACGTTATTGCTTTAATTGCCGACAAATTATTCTTTTCGTTGAATTTATTGGTGGATCTGGTATACCGATACCACCACCAAAAATTATTTGATTAAATTCATCTGAAGACGTTAAAACATCTTGCTCATGGAAATTGTTTGTATCTGCCATTTTTTTTTTCATTTTTTTTTAATAAAAGATTAAGAAGGAAATATAATTATATGAAAGTAATAATATCGTTACGTCACCATGAAAAATAATGATTTTAAATAATCATTCGTTTATTTAACATTGATTATATCATGCTTGCAAAGTATCATTAAAATATCTATCTGTGATATAAGTTACCTTCTTTCATTTTTTATTTATCCCCTTATTTTTACTTTTTTATTCTTTAAAAATTATCGTAAATTTACTAACATGAACTTTATTATTTATATTCATTCATCAATTAAAGTCTTAAAGTTATAAGATTGTTTTCCTTTTTATTTTGTTTTATTTTAAAATAAATAAAAATTATCAAACATGGTAATAAGAAACAGTTAAGACTATCATCAATGTATTGTAAGTATTAATACTAACGAACCTCTCTTTATATGGACTTTTGATCGTTCATAATTTAAAATTCCGAAAATAAATAATACATTCCCTTTTATTTTTTTTTTGTATAAAAATAAAAATAGGATCAACTGGTAGAGAGTTTAAGACATTACACATGGCAAGTGGACACATTTACGACTAGCCTTAGGTATATAGTCAAAGAAACTGATTGATTTCAATGTCATGTAAAATGCGTTGATAAGTACTGAGATGTCATTATTTGTTTTTCATTTAAAACAATTATATTAGATTGATACTAGCGGGATTCTTTTCGATTGACATTATTTAAGGTAAATATATTTCCGTTATTTTGGATTATTTAAAAAAAAAATCAAGGATGATCTGAGCAGGATTTGAGTCATTATTCATGGCATTTGGACACAGTTACGACTAGCCTTGGGCATTTAGTCGGATGAAACTGATAGATTCCCAATGTCATGTAAAATACGTTGATTAGAGAAGCAGACAACTGAGATGTCATTTATTTGTTTTCATCCATGAAACGAATTTTAGTACAGATACTAACATGCATCTTTTTATGGACTTTGGGTCCAATTTTCCCTCATAGTTACGCGTTTCAACTCAAGAGTTGGAACAATCAAACCTGGTGATAACGAATGACTTTAGGATGAATTTATACAATTTTTTCAGAATGTGGGATTAAAGATCATCATCGTACGAACTAAATTCGAAAATTTGTATTACTATTATCGCAATGATAAATGACACAAAACTTTAGCAAAACCCTAAGATATTCTTTATTATTTTGTAAATGATGATTTCTATTTATTATTTTTAACTATTTATATATAAAGTAAGTATACATGGATATCGATGATAGCTTAAACTGCACCAAGTAATTCCTTAAAGTTGAGTGGAATTAAATTATTTTGGCAACAAGAATTTGACTATTTTAAGGGCAGCATTCGTTTTATGAATAATAAAATATTTAGTCTTTATATTTTAAAGTCATGAAATAATTTATGTTCGTTTAATTAGCTTACACCAAGTTATATGAGCATTAGAAACTTGCTAATGTTTTGACGATTAGTCGAATTGACTGGAATTATCTTTAAGACCATCAATTACAACTCCCAAGATGATTTGAATTAAAAACTATATATAAGTAGGAGTAAAATAGGTTATTATTAATTTTCATTCAATTTAACCGCTTTGTTTTGGTCATACATTATGCAGGAATTAGCGCGATGTACAAATTTATAACAACTAATAGATTATTCCAACTAAGTTAAAACGATTCATTTTACAATTGGATAAGGCAGTGGATTTGATCTATATGTTAATTAATGCAACATTATTTTGTGTAGAGTTTTAATGTGTCAACATTTTAACAGTCGCTATCAAAAATTAAAGATTGAATACCACCTACAAATAGAAAGATTTATCAACGAGATTTTATTTTGACAAAAAAAAAATAATAAAATTCATCGAAATGCGAAAATTTTTGAAATGGTTGGAAATTAAATTTCCAAGTTATATTTTGTATCTTATTAAAATTGCTTTATAGAAATATTCCTTAATTGCGCCTGCAACTTTTTACTTAATATTACACCAGAGCCATTTAAGACATGGTTTTAAGATGGTCTATTATTATTTTATGTATTTTGTGGGACATTTCTTCTGGGCAATCACCTTTTTCTATGTAAACAACTAATATCTTACAATAAAAATAAATAAACAATCTAAAGCTGTTGAATTTAAACCATATAGTATACTTAGTATTATAAATTTTTTTATAAATGTTTTAATCTTTTTTTTAAGTTCAATTTGTTGAATATCAGCAGTAAAATTGTTTCTTTTATTTTTATATTCAAAATATCCTCATTTCATATACACATTTGAAAATTTTACAGACTGATATATATTATACTTCTTTAGAATATTAATAATTTAAATTGGAATGTATTGTTTTGTATTATACTCACAACACGTCATTTCGAATGATTATGTTTTAAACAACAATGTATTTCTCTTTAAACAATTGATATAACAAGAAAAATGAAAATTACGTTTTCTTTGTAAACCATTTTTGGTTTTCTTTAGCTAAAATATGTATCACCTGTTTTATATTTTCGGTTAAAAACCAATCATTGTTCAACTATTAAACATGGAACCTTTCAGCTTACTTTTTATATTGATAAATATTATGATGAATGAAAAAAACTTAAGATTCCCTACTTCCTCAAATTCACACCAACTATTAAGGTAACGAAGTTAATAATCAATAAAAAATGTAATAATAAGCATAAAGTCTTATGATATAAAATCAATATAATTTAACAAGGGTCCTTTGATATAATAATGCGATAAAATTGCACAAACAAGAGTAACTTATCGAATTTATCATTTGTGAGATTAACCGTGTTAATGTCATAAATAAGGCATCAATAGACTTTTCAATAATATATATAGGATCGAAAATTAGATGTGGTTCGACATTCTCTTTGGATACCAAATTATATTCACCAATTAAAACGATAAAAGTTAAAGTTACAATATAACATTCGGAATGATATTTAAAATTTTATCTTCAGTACGAAGTGATGTTACCTTTGTAAGTATTAGCAAATTTTTTTTTATCGTTCCTTATAGTTATTAATGTTCAATTCCGATTATAAATTCTCAAAAAGTAGAAAATGTTGTAAACGTACGGATATCGATTGTCTTCTATAGATTGCAGGAATTTATTAACTCAGGTTATGTATTCTCAGTGAGAAAGATATTGTACGTAACGAAGAAATTTTCACAATTTTTGATGAATATTATATAAATATAATCAACTATTCAATCTGAAACCATTCCCATACACCTTCACTAAAAACACCACTTCTAAATTGTTTAAAACAATTTATATTTTTTGATTTTCATTTTTTTCTAAATCTTTCCAAAAATAACCTAGTCTTTCTTGATAAATTACAAAAATATTTCCGTATCAATGTCTGAAACTTATGATTTAAGATAATTATACCTCTCCCGGTGACAGGATCTCTTTTTTTTTTCTTGATCGAAGTTTATAACATACCAATGTTACAGAAGACTTGAATAAAGTGAACAAAGGATAAATATTTTGGTTTGTAATTATAGCCAAACCCTCAATTTTTAATGGAATTAACTTTAGCTTTAATGTTTATAATGGACTTCTCCGGTATTTGGAATAGTAACTCCTGTATTGTGTATGAATTTGTCTAATAGATGTATGAATACAATGCAAAGTAAATCAACCTTATGAATCTGATACATTGTATTTTCGGTTTTGTTTGTCTATTGATTTTATGAGGAGTGTAAAGACATCATCTCACATAGGAGCATTTGCATTTAAAAATTGATTAACAGATTTATTCGTTTCAAATTTCGAAAGATGAGAATAATGAAGGTATTTACTATTAAAAGTCTTATTTGCGGAATTAAAGATTGTATTTATAAATTTACAAAGTTTCGCAAGAAGAGGTAATGTATTTATTATTACTTAGAATTGCCGATTTGGACAAATGTCAAAGATTTATAGAATATAAATTGGCAAGATTTTATTAATAAGATTACAAAGAAATCCATTACTGTCCTAGCGCACTTTAATAAACTTATGAGGAGAGAATCTAATTCGTCTTTCTAAATACAAAAGCGAAACGAAGAGTAATTTCGATCTAGAAGTTCTACCGCGGCATTCCCGATAAAATCATTAATAATTATTTAACCACCAAATATCATACAAGTTTTTAATAACTAGATAACTTACAATCAAAAACTTGCAATATTAAAAATATATTTATCAATATCTTATTCCTTTTTGTCTGCCTATCAAAAGAGCGTCCAAACATGCAACCAAGTCTGTTGTATAGTAACGCATCCAAACGAGAATTTTAGTTCAACAATTTGTTATAATATTAAAAGTCGTAATATATAGCAAATATACATTAATTTTGTTGATATCCATCTTAATAATAATAATAATAATAATAATTTGTTTATAAAATAATTAACTTTAAAATATAAAAAAAATCATAACTGGTTTTAACCAGAAGTCGGAATATTTAATATCGCCAAATCGATTTATCGTGTATCGTTATATCGAGATCGAGTTTTGATAAATTTCCAAACAGTTAATGATTTCAATAAATTTTCTCGAAAGTTTGGATGTACTCTTGAATGACACTCTAGAATGACGAACAAATACCGGTTTCACTAAAAAAAAAAATATACTTCTGCGATTAATAATAACAAATATTATTCCTTTTACTATCTTTTATTTTTTAAAAAAAAACAAAAACAAATGATTGAGAAAGTTTATATATTCTTCGCTTCAAGCATTCAGAATGATTTTTCATTGATAATAAAACTAAATATGTAATGTCAATTTAGATAAGACTTCAACTCCGTAGTTTTTTTATTGTAAATGAAGTTTCCGAAATGTAACTTACAGTAATTATGTGATTATAATTATCGTACAAATTTTAAGAGGTAAGAGAAAAATTTAAAGTGTATTCAATCATTATGCACTCGCATTCCAATTGATCGGCGATCATGTGATTAACTAATTTGTAGTAAAATACCAA